ACCTCCCTATTTTAATCAGAGAAATGTCGGAGGGTATGCACTTTAAAGCTGCATCGGAGCAAATGGTAAAACACCGGAAGACCAAATTGCTGTTTGTTCCAATTCAGCATTAGAGAGCAGGTTTTCCTAGGAAAAAAAGGCAGTGGGATCCGGGAAATCACTCAGACATGGCGCTTTAAAGCACTGACCTATGCCAAAAAAATACAGGGCAAAAGGTTAAGTGTGGATGAGCCCTTTATTTTATTTTATTTTTTGCTTGGGAGAGGGCTGCAGCTCAGTAACGCAGAAAAAACAAATGATTAAAAGGCAAGGAGCCCTGTGCCAAACCGAGCACGCTTCAATTTTGGAAATGGATTTCCGAAATTCTTGTGGCTGAATTCAAATGCGGGAGGCGCGGAATGCAGGACAGATGCAGAGGAGCCGAAGCAATGGATTTGTCGTGGAGCAACAGGGCCTGTTGGTCAACCCTCTGTTGACCACGTTGCATAGCAGGGCCAGTGTGCTGGTCCCGGGGGTGGGAGGGGGTTACCGTGCGGCGTGGTCTGTGTCCGGTCCGAGGCTGAAGGAGGGAGTCCAAGGCAGGGAGTCGGGCGGGGTCCGGAACTCTGGCAGAAAGCAGGACAAGGTGCCGGCAGGAACAGGTAACCAACGATGTTGCTCCAGCAACCGGGCGGCCCCGGTTCACAGGTGACTCGCCTCTCCTGGCCTGGAGGCGAGCCCTCCTCCTGCGGGAACTTAGTTCCCTCTGCCTCTCTGCCCTGAGCCTCTGCAGCTCAGGAGAGGCTGGAGGGTTACCGGACCCAGAGGCAACCTCACCTTCCCCTGACAGGGCTGGGAGAGGAGCACCTGCAGGCAATGGGTCACCTCCGGAGCCAGAGCGGATTCAGCTGGTGTCTGCTCCTGAGGATCCGGCACAGGTGAGGACCCTTCAGATTCAAGCCCCAGCCCTGGCTCAGCCGGCCCTGGAGGTGGGGACTCCTGTGCAGGCTGGGATTCCTCAGGTTCAGCCTCTGAATCAGATTCCCAGGCCATCACAGCCAGACCGTTACGTGCCTCATGCGCACAGAACGAAAGCGGCACGGGGCCAGCTTACGGGTTTCTCTTCTGCGTGGCATGTTCTCCCGCAGCTCAGTTTGGAGTTAGCGCTCGTGGCCCCTCTGACTTTCAACATCTGCACCGAAAACATCTGGGAGTTGGTGTAGGAACTTTGGCAACACGTGTCGACACGGCTCCGATTTCCTGGCTGCGACCAGCGGCACTATAAGGGCGGGTGCGGACAGAAATCCATTGTTAACTCCCGACTTGCGGTCGCACTGCACATCATCAGGTAGTTTCTACAGGTGCTTGAGTTTGGAATCTGCAGCTCCGATGCTGGGCTGAACCAGGGGGACAATATTAACTCTGCTCCCCAAGCTTTCATCAGGAACAGGAAGGCATGGGAGTGGGGGGCTGCCCCCAGCTACTGCTGAAAGTTGTGGGTATAAACACCAGCCGGCCCAAATCTTCCTTCACCTGGTCAGCAAAAAATGGACTTAGGTCTCCAAGGATGCACAATGTTTTCTGTGCCACATCTCACTGAAAGAATTGAGCAAACAGGATCCCCTTTAGGGAGAGAGTAGGGAGACTGAGAGAGAGAGAGAGAAAGCGAGAAAGCGAGAAAGCGAGAGAGAGAGAGAGAGAGAGAGAGAGAGAGAGAGAGAGAGAGACTCCTGCCTTGCATTGCCAAGACTCCAGTTAATTTGTGATCATGTTCCATTTAACAAGACAGCCTAAATATTTAAAATAGATTTGCGAGCGCGGGGGACGCGAGATCTGAGCGAAAGCGCGCTTTGCGAGGTCCCCCGGCTGATCGGGTTACAGCGTGCTGCAGATGGAAATTATTACGGCTCCAAGCCGGGAAAGGAGGAGAGGCACGTAGGTTTTATACACTGGTGTGACAACAACAACAACAGCATCCGGACCATCAGAGCCCAGGCAGCTGTTTTGAAGCCTGATAATTTAATTCTGCTTCTAAAACAAAACTAATTCTGAGCAGGTGTGGTGAGTTGAGGATCATATCTCCATTGGCAAAACGAGGGTCTTGGATGCTGGGAATGCTCAGAGCGCTCCCAGGCAACTGTTCCACTGAGCATCCATCCTGATTTGTTTGCAGGGAGGTTAGACGACGTTGGCTATTTATTGTCGGATTGTGGTTTCTCCAGTATCCAGCTGCTAGTCCTGGGGCAACGTGGTGTCAGAAGTGGGATCCCTCTCTGGCCAGGCATTTCCCCCTGGTAATCTGGAGGAGCCAAACAGCAGACTCAATAAACAAATGTAACCCCCAGTTCTCCTTGGGGACAACCTCTTGTTATTAGTTATGGTGGTTGTCTGGGATCTCCCTGTACAGGAGCAGTCTACCTGTAAATGCCAAACAATGGGGGAAAGGCCAGTAGCTCAGCAGTGGAACATCTGCTTTGTGTGCAGAAGTCCTCAGGTTCAATCCTTTGCATTTCTGGGTAGGGCCAGAAAAGACTCCCTAGCAAGTTGGTGCAGACCACACTGGGCTAGATGAGCAACTTCCTATGTTAGTAAGAAGACTGTTGCCTTGATATTCTGGCAATGGGCTCCCAAAAGGCATTTGATAAGCTACTGTGGTAAGCAAGGTGATAGGGTGGATCACTTGCTCTGATCCAGCAGCTCTTCACTTAGGGAGCCAATCCCAGCTCTGCTGTATGGAACCCTTTAAGCTGGAAGGAGGGGAAGTGTTTTAACCCGGGATCTTCTGCATTTCATAGAATCATAGACAATTAAGGGTCATCTTGTCAAACCCTCTACAATGCAGGAATCTCAACTAAAGCATCCATGATAGATAATCATCGAAATGCTGTTTAAAAACCTCCAAGGAAGGAGAGTCTGCCACCTCCCGAGGGAGACTGTTCCACTGTCAAACAGCTCTCACCATCAGAAAGTTCTTCTGAATGTTTTGTAAGAATCTCCTTTCTTGCAACTTAAAGCCATGGGTTCGAGTCCTACCCTCCAGAGCAGGAGAAAACAAGCTTGTTCCCTCTTCCCTGTGACAGCCCTTGAGATATTGGAAGATGGCTCTTATATCTCTTCTCATTCTCCTCTTTTCCAGGCTAAACATACCCAGCTCCTTCGACCGTTCCTCATCAGGCTTGGTTTCCAGACCCTTGATCATCTCAGTCACCCTCCTCTGCCCACCTTCCAGCTTGTCAACATCTTCAGGGATGTTGCTGTAACACTCATAAGAGCCAAGGAGTCTTTGCCCCCCCAATAAAATATTTTAGGGGGCCAGGACCCCCCTCCCAAGTTAATGGGCATTGCCATCCAAATGGCGTCTGTGCACGGCCTAGGACCCTTGTACCTACGGGACCGCCTCTCCTGGTATGTCCAACAGAGGAACTTACGCTCTTCAAACAAAAACATCCTGAAAGCCCCAGGCCACAGAGAGGTTAGGCTGGCCTCAACTAGAGCCAGGGCTTTTTCGGCTGTGGCTCCAATCTGGTGGAACGCTCTGGCACAAGAGACTAGGGCCCTGCGGGACTTGACATCTTTCCGCAGGGCCTGCAAGACAGAGCTGTTCCACCAGGCCTTTGGCCAGGGCACAGCCTGACTCCCTCCTTTGGCAATGTTCGCAGATCTCTGGCCCAGTCGTTGCCATCAGTTTGATTTGAGTTAATTTTATAATGAATGACTTTGGTATGTTGTACTATTTTATTGTTAGCCGCCCTGAGCCCGGCTTCGGCTGGGGAGGGCGGGATATAAATAAAATTATTATTATTATCACATCATGTGATCGATTATGCAAGACAGGGCTTACTTGCCCCCAAAATATTTTGTTCAAGTTGGCACCCCTGGTAACACTGAACAGCTTTTGGTTCCCAGTTGAAGGGACGGGACTCCTTCTCTATGGGGAAAAGCAACAGATTTGGCTAGGTAATAATTTAGAAAGCTTTAGATACAGAAGAACTTGGAGGACTTCCATGTTCTGAAGCAGTCTACCTCCAAACACTGGTTGTTAGGGACAAACATCAGGGGAGAGGTGTTGCTTTCATATTTTCCCCAGAAGCACATGCTTGGTTGCTGTGAGAAACAGGAGGCTGGGACTTAGGGTAATTCTTCAGTCAGATCCAATAAGGGTCTTCTTCTGTGCTTAAACTTGGTGGGCCATTTTTGTGGCACAGAGAACTTGTAACTGCCTACTGTGGCATGTTGTGGTGGCCTGGGATTTGGACTTTGAGGCTGAACCTGAGGAATCCCAGCCTTCACAGGAGTCCCCGCCTCCAGAACCAGCTGAGCCGGGGCTGGGGCATGAGCCTGAAGGGTCCTCACCTGTGCTGGGTCCTCAGGTGCAGGCACCAACTGAATCTGCTCTGGCTCCTGAGGTGATGGAGGACCCATTGCCTGCAGGTGCTCCACTCTCAGTCCCGTCAGAGGAAGCTGAGGTTGCATCTGGGTCTGGTAACCCTCCAGCCTCTCCTGGGCTGCAGAGGCTCAGGGCAGAGAGGCAGAGGGAACCAAGTTCCCGCAGGAGGAGTGCTCGCTTCCAGGCCAGGAGAGGCGAGTCACCTGAGGATCAGGGCCGCCCTATGCCTCGGGGCAGATAAAAGCCGGCCAGCCCCAGTCCCAAGTTGCGGGAGCAACATTGTTGGTTGCTAGTTCCTGCCTGAACCCTGTCCTGTCTTCCTGCCAGAGCTCCTGACCCGCCCTGGCTCCCTGCTTGCAAGCCTGTTCCTGACTTCACCCGACTCTCTGCCCTGCACCCAGCTTCCGCTACTATGGACTGCCTCCACGTTGCACCTTCGACCTCGGACTGGACTCAGACCTCGCCTCACGGAAACCCACGGGACCAGCACACATGTAATACTTGATCCTAATCAGTCAGTCCTTTGAAATTCAAAATTCTCTGAATTTTGCAATTCTGCCATTCGCAGAATAATGGAATTGTAGAGGGGACCCGAGGGTCATCTAGCCCAACCCCCTGCAATGCAGGAACTTTTTATCTAACATGGGACTCGAACCCACAACCCTAAGATTCAGAGTATCATGCTTTACCGACCGAACCCTTAAGAGACTGTTAAGCAGTGTGTATAGAAACACATATTTAATTTTAATTGTTTTATTTTTTAAAGAAAAGAAGGATCTTTTTATCACATGTGGTGGGAATGTAAGAAAGCGAAAAGCTTCTGGGAAATGATATATAATGAGATGAAAAAGATGTTGAAATATACCTTTATTAAAAATCCCAGAAGCATTTCTACTTGGCATTGTAGGGGAGGACATTAATACACAGGATAATAAACTGTTTTTATATGCAATAACGGCAGCAAGAGTACTATCGGCACAGAAATGGAAACAAGAAGAACTACCGACGAAAGAGCAACGGCAGACGAAATTAATGGACTACGCAGAATTAGACAAGGTGACAGGAAGGATTCAAAACCTGCGGGATCAAAGATTCTCAGAGGACTGGAGTAAATAAGTGAACTATTTGAAAAGCAGTTGTAATCAATAGATTACACTAGTAGGATTGCAAGAAGTTTTGTAAGGAGGACTATGAAATATTGCAGAGAAAAGTATGAAGAGAATTATTAGTGAAGGACTATTAAAAGTAATAGTGAAGTTAATGAAATGAAGATTAAGTGATAAAGATTGAAAAATCTTCAGATGTGCTTGATGTCCAAAACACTGAATAAGATGAGAAAATATGTTGTAATTTTTTTTTGGAAATTTCATGCATAAATTAATTATATATATATATATATATATATATATTAAAAAAGAAACACTTATTTTAAGCGTTCACAAAATGCATACGCATTCTCACGAAAACAGCATGCCATTTGGGGAGACTGCATGTGAAAATATGTACGGCAGGACGAATCTCCATTAAAATGTTGGGGAATTTCCGTGAGGACTTGGGGGGGGGGTGTATGAATTGCAAATGCAGAGAACCAAATTTCAGATCAGAAAAACGAAAAACGGTATCATTCATATGCGTGGGATGTTTTTGGGGTTTATTATATGCATTTTGAATTCTGGTGCTGGAGGAGACTCTTGAGAGTCCCATGGACTGCAAGAAGATCAAACCTCTCCATTCTGAAGGAAATCAGCCCTGAGTGCTCACTGGAAGGACAGATCCTGAAGCTGAGGCTCCAAGACTTTGGCCACTTCATGAGAGGAGAAGACTCCCTGGAAAAGACCCTGATGTTGGGAAAGATGGAGGGCACAAGGAGAAGGGGACGACAGAGGACGAGATGGTTGGACAGTGTTCTCAAAGAGACCAGCATGAGTTTGACCAAACTGCGGGAGGCAGTGGAAGACAGGAGTGCCTGGCGTGCTCTGGTCCATGGGGTCACGAAGAGGCGGACACGACTAAACGACTCAACAACAACAACAACATTATATGCATTTTCTGAAACTTGAAAAATAAGTTTTAGAAAGGAAATAAAATAAGAGATAAGATAAGATAAGATAAGATAAGATAAGACGATAAGATAAGATAAGATAAGATAAGATAAGATGATAAGATAAGATAAGATAAGATAAGATAAGATAAGATATAAAATAAAATAAAATAAAATAAAATAAAATAAAATAAAATAAAATAAAATAAAATAAAATAAAATAAAATAAAATAAAATAAAATAAAATAAAATAAAATAATATAAAATAAAATAAAATAAAAATAATTAGCATGCACCCATTTCCTTTGCCCGTCCGTCAACTCTGGAGGCGCCGCAACAAAGACTTGCGAAATCTGTTTGCCAGAAGCAATATGGTGTGTACACAGCCCATGATGTCTCTATCATAGTCCTTTCAGCGCTAGGAATATAAACCCGTCATCTGCCTCCAGCCGTACAGATCACTCCCACGGCAGCGGACCCCATCCCCTTGCTCTCTCACGCATGCACTCCCCTCCCCTGAAAATTTATTGTCCGGCACAACTCCCCCCCCCATGGTAAGCCATCGCTCCCCAGCCTGGATTCGCCCTCCCTCCCTGCTTTCTTCGTACCAATAACTCAGAGGAAATAGCAAAAAGCTTTCAAGTTTCTGTTGCTAAGGGCAACTGTTTTTATTGGGGTAGCCACATGTTGGGCACATGTGTCCAAAGCCATGACGGCTCTCTTTGCAAAAGGAGGAAAGGAAAAGGCTTGCCTTCCAGCCGAGGCCTCATTCCCCCAGCAAAACGCCGCTGAATCGCAGGAATCTTGAGCGGCGAGGCACCTAAGGGTTCATCTAGTCCACCCCGTGGAAGACGACAAGAAAGCAACCCTGACAGACGCCCACCAAGCCTCTACTTAGATGGGGGGCACGTGGCTTGCTAGTAGTAGGTGTGAAAAGGATCTAGGGCTCTTGGTGGACCACAAGATGAGTCAAGAATGTGAGGCTATTGCTATTCCAGATCAAGGGAAGTCATAGTCCCGTTCTGTTCTGCCTTCGTCAGACCACATCTGGAATGCTGTGTCCAGTTCTGGGCGGCACAATTTGGAAAGGATGTTGACAAGCTGGAAGGTGTGCTGAGGAGGGCGACTGAGGTGATCAAGGCTCTGGAAGCCAAGCCTGATGAGGAACAGTTGAAGGATCTGGGTATGTTTAGCCTAGAAAAGAGGAGACATGATAGCCTTCTTCAAATATCCGAAGGGCTGCCACATGGAAGATGGAGCAAGCTTGTTTTCTCCTGCTCTGGAGGGTAGGACTCGAACTCATGGCTTCAAGAAAGGAGATTCCGACTCAACATCAGGAAGAACTTTCTGATGGTGAGAGACGTTTGACAGTGGAACGGTCTCCCTTGGGGGGTGAAGGACTCTCCTTCCGTGAGGTTTTTAAGCAGAGGTTGGACGGCCATCTGTCATGGATGCTTTAGCTGAGACCCCTGCATTGCAGGGGTTGGACTAGATGGCCCTTGGGGTCCCTCTACAATTCTATGATTCTATGATCTCGTAAGTGAACTGGTCTCAAGTTGTTAAGGGCTTTATATACTACTAGCAAAACCACAGAACTGGTCCAGCAGCAAATCGGCAAGCCGTGAAGATCTCTGAGCACGGGCATTGCATTCTAACAAGGCCTTACTTCTGTCAGCAATTGTGTTGCAGCATTCTGCCAGTTCTGGGTCAACGGCGAGGGAAGCCGCACATGAAGGGCATTGCAGTAGTCTATCCATAAAGCAAGCAACACATGAACGACTGTGTCAAGGCTTTATGGGAACTGCTTCTGGGTTTTCCCAGAGGTTTTTGAACTTACCGAGTGAAATTTGTTAAACAGAATTAGTTTTTTGCCTCTGCATCTCAGCCCTGCCTGAATCCTGATTCAACCGAGATAAGAACTTTAATAATCATCTGCACCCTGCTTTCCTTTCTAAATTGGACATTGTCCTAGAAGGCAAGTTACTGATCTTCTGAGCACAAAAAATGTAAGCTGGACGTGGCCTGCGTCAGATAAAACCCGAACATATGAAACACCCAGTCTAAAATCCAAAACAATAAATTCCGATAATATCCCAAAAATCAAATGCAGAAGGCAGCAGCGTAAAAACATTAAAATTAAAACAGCTAATTAATATCAGCTCCAGACTCGGAGGGTGAACACAGCTGGCTCCATATTTCAGCTCCTTTATTTCACTTGCAGCTTCCTGCCCCTGCTGCTGAGTCGGCACTGAAAAATTGCTGCCAGAGGGTAGGACTCGAACCAGTGGCTTCAAAGTCCTGGAACGAAGAATGCGGGGAGCACCAACCAAACCCGCTGGGAACTTGGGGATGAGGGGCGTGGTTTGTACCTGATGAGCAGATCTTTCTGTCCATGCTGCTGAGTCCACACTGATAAATTGCTGCGAGAAAGCAATGTTCTTGTGACCGTATGAGATGGTGGTGCCAAAATCTTTTCAGGAGAGATTGGGGACTCTCAGGTCTGGGAGCCAAGTGTGGTCTTCTAGACTTTTCCATCTGGCCAGCACTCAAGCTACCCATCTCCTCCCACACCCAGCTGCTGACGCTCCAAGTGTCCTGATTTTCCAGTGACAGTCCCAAATTTACAGAAGCCGTCCCGTTTGATCTTGGAATGTCTCGCTTTTCATTAAAGGTAAAGGTAAAGGGACCCCTGACCATTAGGTCCAGTCGTGGCCGACTCTGGGGTTGCGGCGCTCATCTCGCTTTATTGGCCGAGGGAGCCGGCGTGCAGCTTCCGGGTCATGTGGCCAGCATGACTAAGCCGCTTCTGGCGGACCAGAGCAGCGCATGGAAACGCTGTTTACCTTCCCGCCGGAGTGGTACCTATCTATCTACTTGCACTTTGACATGCTTTCGAACTGCTAGGTTGGCAGGAGCAGGGACTGAGCAATGGGAGCTCACCCCATTGTGGGGATTCAAACCGCTGACCTTCTGATCGGCAATTTGCATCGGAAAAATCTTGGAGGGTATGGAGTTGTGCAACCCCCGAGCCCAGGAGATAAGGAACTATACAACCTTTAGAAGACATCTGAAGGCAGCCCTGTATACGGAAGTTTTTAAACATTCAGTGTTTTATTATGTTTTTATGTATGTTGGAAGCTGCCCAGAGTGGCTGGGGCAGGCCAATCAGATGAGCAGAGTATAAAATTCTAACAGTGGTACCTTGGTTCGCAAACTTAATCCGTTCTGGAAGTCTGTTCAAAAACAGAAGCGTTCCAAAACCAAGGCGCGCTTTCCCATAGAAAGTAATGCAAAACGGATTAATCCCTTCCAGACTTCTAAAAACAACCCCTAAAACAGCAATTTAACATGAATTTTACTACCGAACAAGACCATTGATCCACAAAATGAAAGCAATCAACACTGTACTGCAGTCGCACAATCCATCCATCAGTAGCTGGACTGGGTTCCACACAGACACATACACACAAAAAGAGCCGCGAAAACAAAAACGCAAAATAAATAGGAAAAACAGACAGACCTCAGTCTAACACTTAAAATGGAAGTTTGGCACGCAAATTGGAAGCGCAACACTCAAAACGGAGCATGTTCAGCTTCCGAAAAAAGTTTGCAAACCGGAACACTTACTTCCGGGTTTGCAGTGTTTGGGTTCCAAGTTGTTTGAGTACCAAGGCGTTTGAGAACCAAGGCACCACTGTATTGTTATTGCTGTTGTTGTTAGTATTAAATAGGACATTCCTATGTTCTTCAGATAAGGGATGTGGGTGGCACTGTGGGTTAAACCACAGAGCCTAGGACTTGCCAATCAGAAGGTTGGCGGTTCGAATCCCCGCGACGGAGTGAGCTCCCGTTGCTCAGTCCCAGCTCCTGCCAACCTAGCAGTTCGAAAGTACGTCAAAGTGCAAGTAGATAAATAGGAACCGCTCCGGCGGGAAGGTAAACGGCGTTTCCGTGCGCTGCTCTGGTTCGCCAGAAGCGGCTTAGTCCTGCTGGCCACATGACCCAGAAGCTGTACGCCGGCTCCCTCGGCCAATAAAGCGAGATGAGCGCCGCAACCCTAGAGTTGGTCACGACTGGACCTAATGGTCAAGGGTCCCTTTACGACTCTTAAAGTGGTATAAGAGAGCTTTACATGTATGGTACTGGATGTGACCAGATGGGATCTGGAAAGACGGAGAAGCGAATTTAAGACTGGAGACAGGAGGGGAATGCGATGGGCAGAATTTTACCCTCTCCCTCCCTTGCCTGGCCTAGCAAAGTCCAGAGGGTGAGAGAGAAGGGGCAGGAAGCCCACCCCACCCCTTCTCTAAGTAATGATACCTCGTTTGAGGTTCAGGGTGACTTTGTGGAGAAAAGAAATAAAATGACTTGGAGCATCAAAAGAGCAACAACAAACTGTAAAATGCAGACCGTCCTGGTCAGAGTCAGTAGCTGCTAAAGCAAACATCTTAATCTGAACCAGACTCGCTGCAGAAGAGAAAACATAGAAGCAGAGCAGGGGGGGGGGGGAGAGTTTGGAAAGCTCTTTTCACAAAAACTGGTTGTAGTTCAGGCATAGGCAAACTCGGCCCTCCAGATGTTTTGAGACTACAACTCCCATAATCCCTGATCGCTGGCCCTGTTAGCTAGGGATGATGGGAGTTGTAGTCCCAAAACATCTGGAGGGCCCAGTTTGCCTGTTCTAGTTCAACCTTTCTCCAAAGGAACTGTTATGGAAATTACCGGAGGGGGACACATCTTTAAAGTTAAATATTACAAATATTATTCCTGAATGTATCCTTTCAATTTGACAGCTCAGGGAAGTTACCTAGCTTTAAAAATAATATAAAATCATCTCCTTTCCCAGTTTCCTCCATTCCAAAGCTATTTTCCCCTTGAAAAAGGACTCCAGGAAGTTCCCGGAGGTGACAATTTCTGGGCTCATTGTTAGCCAAGGGAAGCCCAATCTCATCACCTGACTCGCCTCAGGCTCCAGACATGCAAAGGAAGTTCTATTGTACTTTTGGGTGGTGGGTACTTAAGACATATTTGTCTATGCTAATCTTATACCTGAGTCTTGCCCTACCATGTCTGCTTATGCTAATCTGGTACCAAGGACTTGTCTGGACATGTTTGCCAAGGTTAACCCCTCCCCTTCGAACTGTATTCTGGGATGTGGTGGAAAAGCTTTAAAAGTCCTTGTCACCCCATCCTCAGGGTTCAAATTTGCTCTTTGAACCTATTGCGCAATAAACTTTGGCCTACAGCTATTTGCTCCGGTTGGCTGGACTCTTTCCTTTATTCTGCAAGGACCCGCGGGCTCTGCCCGACGAGCTAGGTGACTGAGCAGCCTCACACCTAGATTTTTTCCTTAACAGAACTAATTCCAGTTCACGTTCATCCCTTTACAGAACAAACCAGTTTGGTTCCGATTCGGTTTGCAGTTCAGTTCAAAGTTCCTCAATCAAGATTGCTACAAGCTGCTGTGCTCAACTCTAAAATGTACTTACGGTGTCTAAGAAAACATCATATACATGCAGCGAATGGTGTAATTTATTCCCCCCCCCAACAATTATGGTGTTCAAAGAATCTAAAAAGTCAAAGGCATGTAGAAGAGAAACTTTCTTTTTGTTTGCTATTTATTTATTAAACTTGTGAGTTGCTTTACCTTGTCCAGCCAAGCAGCCAACCAGACAAAAAACCAGACCTGCATACATTTATTGGTCCCCCAAATTTTTTATTGGTTTTCACAACATTATAAACAAACAAACACATAAGACAAACAAACATAAATCATAGCCTTGTTAAAAATTGCACTTATTAACATTGTTAAGTGATTTCCTCGCTTCCCCTTGGTTGAATTTCATTGCACGTCCTTTTAACGGTTTTCCAAATCACAGTTCTTATAAAATGTAACTTAAACATTAACATCCATAGATCTTCACCTTATGAAATTAAACATATTAGTTCACTTAACTTAAATAAAATCCTAAGCCAATTAAGTATCTGCAAGCTGTTTTCAGTTAATTTAACTTAACCTATTTAACTAAGTAATCATTAAATTTAATCCAATCTTCCTGATACTCCTCCTCCTTCTGGTCACGGACTCTTCCGGTTAGGTCGGCTAGCTCCGAAAAATCCATCATCTTCGTTGCATACATTTACAGTATTTTTTGCTCTATAGGACGCACCCGACCATAGGATGCACCTTGTTTTAGAGGGGGAGAAAAAGAAAAAAAATTCTCCCCCTCTCTGCTCAGCGCCCCTTCAGCGAAGCGGCAGGAGAAACGGATCCCCTTCCATTTCTCCTCCCGCTCGCTGAAGGCGCTGCGCAGCTCTCCTCTCTGCTGAAGCCGGAAGAGTCGTGCTCTCCCGGCTTCAGTGAAAGGAACCCGAAGCCTTCGGAGCGCAGCTCGAGTTCCCGCTGCGCTCCGAAGGCTTCAGGGATAGCCTTTGGAGCGCAGCGGGAATTCGCACTGTGCTCCGAAGGCTTCGGGTTCCTTTCGCTAAAGCCAGGAGAGTCTTGCTCTCCCCTGCATGCCGGAGGCTTCAGGCGGCTATCCCTGAAGCCTGGAGAGCGAGAGGGGTCCGTGCGCACCGACCCCTCGCGCTCTCCAGGCTTCAGCGAAAGCAACGTGAAGCCTCCGAAGCATGGAGGGAGCGCTCCCTCTGCGCTTCGGAGGCTTCGCGTTGCTATCGCTGAAGCCACGGAGTCTGCATTCGCTCCATAAGACGCACACACATTTCCCCTTAATTTTTGGAGGGGGGAAAGTGCGTCCTATAGCGCGAAAAATACGGTATTTGTTTGTTACATTTATGTGCCAACTTTGTCTTGGGTCTCAAGCCGGTGCCCATGGTTCTCTGCCTCCCCATTTCATCCTCTCAACAAGCCTGCAAGGTAGTTTAAGAGATGCTGCGACGGACTCCAAGGTCCAGATGGATCAAGCAGCATAATGTGAAATGATTTGTTACTTACAGTTCCCCACCCCCTTTTCTCTTTAAAGGTCCTATTTCGGTTTTCTTTTGCAGAAAAGGCACCCGTAAAGTCTCTCCAGCGGGTACCACAAGCCCCTCCCCCTCCCCCATCTGGAAACCTTATTTTCTGGGGACAGCTGGAAAGGCTTAACTCTTAACATCTGCATTGGCGGGGCTGGCAGAGCAAAGGGATGGGTGTTGTTGACGTTTGCTTCTCGCCCCTTTGGAAATGAAGAGACAAGTCAATGCAAAAGAGGTGGCTGGGAATTGCAGTACAGTGGTACCTGGGGTTACATACGCTTCAGGTTACACACTCCGCTAACCTAGAAATAGTGCTTCAGGTTAAGAACTTTGCTTCAGGATGAGAACAGAAATCGGGCTCTGGCGGCGCGGCAGCAGCAAGAGGCCCCATTAGCTAAAGTGGTGCTTCAGGTTAAGAACAGTTTCAGGTTAAGAACGGACCTCCGGAACGAATTAAGTACTTAACCTGAGGTACCACTGTACTTTTCTAACTCCACAGGGAGAGATAAAGGCAAGGAGAATCACAGACTCAAGGCCAGTTGCAGTCTCAGTTTTTGAATGTGGCAAGTGAGGCATGGAGTAAAGTTCAGTTTTTGGATCTGCCCGGTAAGTATCTTTATACAGCGATGTTAAGTAAAACAGTGTTTGCCTCCTGTTGCTCATGAATTACATTACATATATTTCAATATACATTGGTACCTTGGGTTACATACGCTTCAGGTTACAGACGCTTCAGGCTACAAACTTCGCTAACCCAGAAACAGTACCTCGGGTTAAGAACTTTGCTTCAGGATGAGCACAGAAATCGTGCGGCGGCAGCGGGAGGCCTCATTAGCTAAAGTGGTGCTTCAGGTTAAGAACAGTTTCAGGTTAAGAACGGACCTTCAGAACGAATTAAGTAATTAACCAGAGGTACCACTGTATATATATTTCAATATCCTTTAAAAAGGTAAAAGTAAAGGACCCCTGACAGTTAAGTCCAGTTGTGGACGACTCTGGGGTTGCGGCACTCATCTCACTTTACAGGCCGAGGGAGCCGGTGTTTGTCCACAGACAGTTTTTCCGGGTCACATGGCCAGCATGACTAAGCCGCTTCTGGCAAAACCAGAGCAGCGCACGGAAACGCCATTTACCTCCCCGCCAGAGTGGTACCTATTTATCTACTTGTACTTTGACGTGCTTTCGAACTGCTAGGTTGGCAGAAGCAGGGACCGAGCAACAGGAGCTCACCCCGTCGCGGGGATTCAAACCGCCGACCTTCTGATCGGCAAGCCCAAGAGGCTCAGTGGTTTAGACCACAGCGCCACCCGCATCCCTTTCAATATACTTTAGTGCTGCCCAGTTAATGCATTTTTGAAAAGAAAGACGCAGATGTGGAGAAAAGTGTTCTGTCTATTCTCAAAAGTGAGAATGGGCTATTCTTCTACTGAAGGAATCTGGAAACCTCTTTCTAGGCTGAAGATTCCAAGCTCCTTCAACCATTCCTCATCAGGCTTGGTTTCCAGACCCTTGATCATCTCACTCACCCTTCTCTGTACACCTTCCAGCTTGTCAACATCCTTCCTAAATTGTGGTGCCCAGAACTGGACACAATATTCCAGGTGTGGTCTGACCAAGGGGGAACAGAGTGGTACTATGACTTCTCTTGACCTCCGGCTTGGCGGCTTCCCATTGGGGCAACTGAATGGCCACTGGGCTGAGGCAACTGCCTCAGGCAGCAGAACCTCAAGAGTTGGCACCCTGCCTGAACCACCGCCTTTGCTGTTGGTGGAGAAACGGCAGTGGCGACTTCTGGCAAGCTGTTGTTGAGATCTCACGAGATCTCATGAGCTTTGTGAGATCGCGTGAGAGTTCCACAAGATCTCGCTCATCGCCACCGCTTCTTGGGTACCACCACACATTTCTCATGGGAGAAATCTTGGAGGGGATGGAATAGGGTGTCCCTATTTTCATCAGGGAAATGTGGGAGGGGATGGAAGAGGACGTTAGTTTTTTCATCGGAGAAATGTTGGAGAGGATGGAATAAGATGCCCTTATTTTCTTGGGAGAAATGTTGGAGGGGATGGAATAGAACGTCCCTATTTTCATCAGGGAAATGTTGGAAGGGATGGAATAGAACGTCCCTATTTTCATCAGGGAAATGTTGGAAGGGATGGAATAGGACGTCCCTATTTTCAAAAGAGAAATGTTGGAGGGGATAGAATAGGACGTCTCTATTTTCATCAGGGAAATGTTAGAGGGGATGGAATAGGATGCCCCTATTTTCATGGGATAAATGTTGGAGGGGCTGGAATAGGATGTCCCTATTTTCATCAGGAAAATGTTGGAGGGGAACAGGAATAGGACTCCCCTATTTTCATGGGAGAAATGTTGGAAAATATGGAATAGGATGTCCCTATTTTCAATGGCAGGACTGTACCTTCCCATTTTACCTCAGGCGGCAAAATGGAATGGGCCACACTCTACTTCGTGGGCCACTGGCCTGATTCAGCAAGCTGGCCTTACGATCTTAAGTCTAAAAATTTGTCAGACCTGACTGGGGAGCCTATGTAGAACTGTGTGCCTTCCCTTTGTGATGAAATACACTTTCCTGGAGCCACCAGCGCACAGCCCTGGGGCAAAATCCTGCCCCTTGCTCTCGCCCCTGCCCTGCCCCAGGAGAAAGCAAGATGGGGAGCCCAGCCAGGACAAACCTTCTCCTGACCCCACACCTTTCCAAAGCCAGAAGACGCTTTAAATGGTCAAAACTGTACCACGGGGAAACATGCCATATTAATCATAATAATCCTAAATCCAGGTCAGCTATATAAAGGCTGATGTCAAGGAATTTAAATCCTATGAAAAATATACACAGCGCCGGTGTTTCAAACCAGAGTCGCAAAAAAGCATTGAGATTCTCTTCTTCGTACAACCCTTAGATTTACAGGGAGGTCACGTGGTACGGGCTATTTTGGGGGGCAAATAGTGGCGGGACTCCAGGGAGGACTTAACACTTTCAGGAACAATACTTGTTGCCCCTGTAGGTTTCAATACAGTGGTACCTTGGTTCTCAAACTTAAACCAAAACGTTCCAAAACCAAGGTGCTCTTTCCCATAGAAAGTGATGCAAAATGGAAGAACCTGTTCCAGACTTTTAAAAACAACCCCTAAAACAACAATTTAACATGATTTTTACTATCTAATGAGACCTTTGATCCATAAAATGAAAGCAATGAACAATGTAAAGGTAAAGGTACCCCTGACCATTAGGTCCAGTCGTGGCCGACTCTGGGGTTGCGGCGCCCATCTCGCTTTATTGGCCGAGGGAGCCGGGGTACAGCTTCCGGGTCATGTGGCCAGCATGACGAAGCCGCTTCTGGCGAACCAGAGCAGCACATGGAAACGCCGTTTACCTTCCCGCCGGAGCGGTACCTATTTATCTACTTGCACTTTGATGTCCTTTCGAACTGCTAGGTTGGCAGGAGCAGGGACCGAGCAACAGGAGCTCACCCCGTCACGGGGATTCGAACCGCTGACCTTCTGATTGGCAAGTCCTAGGTTCTGTGGGTTAACCCACAGCGCCACCAGCATCGGTGTAAAATCAATAAAACAGTATTGTTAAAAATGAAAATGTATTTTTTCCCCTACCTGCACTGTCTAAAGTGGCTTTGCAGCTTTTATCCGCTTCCGCAGGCACACAATCGAATCGATCAGTAGCTGAACTGGGTTCTACACAGTCACAAAAACAAATGAACCAAAAAAGCCTCAAAAACAAAACGCAAAATAAATAGCAAAAACAGACAGACCTTAGTATAGCACTCAATATGGAAGTGTGCCACTCAGAAAGGAAGAGAGGCACTCAAATCGGAAGCGTAGCACTCAAATCGTGTCAGGAGTGCGTGCAGGAACCAGGCCCTGTGACCAATAGGACTCTGCAGGACTGGAGCCTTCCTAAGTTTGTTCTGAAGAGGCAAGGCGCAGCCGCACAGGTGAGGCCGCTTGGTAACTTGCTGGACCTGGTGGCAAGAGCCGGGAAGGGATATAAGGTCAGCATTTCCCTTTGGCTCTTTGCCACAGCAACACGTTTCCTGCCTTGCTGTGTTTGGCTCCTTGATTTCTTGATCCTCGGACCCCTGACTTCGTGACTCCTTGCTTCTTGATCCTCAGACCCCTGACTTCGTGACTCCTTGCTTCCTGACCCTCGGATCCTTGGCTTTTTGACTCCTGGCTCTCTGACCTTCGGACCCTTGGCTTCCTGACTTCTGGCTTCTGGACCCCTGTTCCTGCTCCCACTCCACCATCTTGCCCCCGGTCCTGAGGTCCCCTGCTGGGACTTCGATCGCCCATGAACCGGACCGTGACAGCACAGTTTGTACCCAGTTTGGACTGGGTGAAGTCACCTCAAACTGGGCGGTGGTTATCTCCAGAAGTGCCCTCATCGGCACATTTTGGGTTCATCGTACCCAACCGGTCAGAATCATGCCAAAGTCATGCTTCGGTCT